TGTGGTGCAATCTATGGCCATGGACATGATATGTGATTTGACGGTTATATTGGGGTGACCCAAAGCGAAAATCATAGAGATCCATGAGGATCCGTGTTTTGGAATCATGTTTTTGCAACATGGTGTTGCGAAGAAGCTGTGGATGTGTGATTTTTGTGGTGTAAGCTGTGCCCATGCACATGATACGTGATTTGATGGTGAGTTCATGGTGACCCAATACAAAAACCCTGAGCATCCATGAGGATCTGTGTTTCAAGAGCATGTTTTTGCAGCATGGTGTTGCCACAAAGCTGTGGATCCGTGATTTTTTTGTGGTGCAAGGTGAGGGCATGGACATAATATGTGATTTAATAATTATGCTGAAGTGACCCAAAGCAAAAATCCAGATGATCCATGAGGATCCCTTCTTCAGAACCATGTTTTTGCAGCCCGGTGCTGCCAAAAAGCTGTGGATCCATGATTTTTTGGTGATAGCTGTGGCTATGGACATGATATGTGATTTGATGGTGAGTCTGGGGTGACCCAATGTAAAATCCCTAAGGATCCATGGTTCAGAACAATGTTGTTGCAGCATGGTGTCCCCACCAAGACGTGGATCTGTGACTTTTGTGATACGAGCTGTGGCCATGGACATGATGTGTTATTTGATGGTGAGTTCATGGTGACCCAATGCAAAAGCCCTGAGGATCTATGAGGATCCATGCTTTGGAAGTATGTTTTTGCAGCATGGTGTCCTCATGAAGCTGTGGCTCTGTGAATTTTGTCATGTGAGCTGTGGCCATGGATGTGATATAGGATTTGATGGTGAGTTTGGGGTGACCCTGCACAAAACCCCCCTAGGATCCACGAGGATCCATGCTTCAGATCCATATTTTTGCAGCACAAAGCTGTAGATCTGTGATTTCTGTGGTGCATGATATATGATTTGATGGTGAGTTCATGGTGACTCAATGCAAAAATCCCAAGGATCCATGAGGATCCGTGTTTTGGATCCATGTTTTTGCCTCATTTTTCAGGATGGGGTTGCCACAAAGCCGTGGATTCATGATTTCTGTGGTGCAAACTCTGCCCATGGACATGATATCTGATTTGATGGTGAGTTTGGGGTGGCCCAAATAAAAAACCCTTAGAATCCATGAGGATCCATGGTTTGGAACCATGTTTTTGCTGCATGGTGTCATCACGAAGCTGTGGATCAATGATTTCTATTGTGTAAACTATAGCCATGGACATGGCATGTGACTTGATGGTGATGTTGGGGTGATCCAATGCAAAAACCCTGAGGATCCATGAGGATCCATGCTTCTGAACCACATTTTTCAGGATGGTGTCACCATGAAGCTGTGGATCCGTGATTTCTGTGGTGCAAGCTCTGGCCATGGACATAATGTATGATTTGATGGTGAGTTTGGCGTGACCAAATTCAAAAACTGTTAGGATTCATGAGGATCCATGGTTAGGAACCATGTTTTTGCTTCCTGGAGATCCCATGAAGCCATGGATCCATGATTTTTGTGGTTCAGCCTGTGGCCATGGACAGGATATGTGATTTGATGGTGCTTTTGGGGTGACCCAATGCAAAAACCCTGAGGATCTATAAGGATCCCTGCTTTGGAACCACATTTTTGCAGGCTGGTCTTACCATGTAGCTGTGGATTCATGACTTCTGTGGTGCAAGCTCTGCCCATGGATGTAATATATGATTTGATCATGTTTTTTGGGTGACCAAATTCAGAAACCATTAGGATCCATGTTTTTGCTGCATGGTGTCACCACGAAGCCATGGATCCATGATTTATGTGGTGCAAGCTGTGGCCATGGACATGGCATGTGATTTGATGGTGATGTTGGGGTGACCCAACACAAAAACTGTGAGGATCGATGAAGAGCCGTCCTTTGAAACCATTTTTTTGCAATATGTGTCGCCACGAAGCCGTGTATCTGTGACTTTTGTGGTGTAAACTGTGACCATGGAAATGATATGTAATTTGATGGTGAGCTTGGGAGGAACCGAAGCAAAAATCCTAAGGATCCATGATCTGGAACCATGTTTTCCTCCATGGTGTAGCTATGAGCCCGTGATTTCTGTGGTGCAAGCTCTGCCTATGAATATGTGATTTCATGGTGATGTTGGAGTGATGCACGTGATTTCTGTGGTGCAAGCTCTGCCTAATATGTGATTTCATGGTGAAAAAGGAAAAATCATGAGGGTCCATGACGATCTGTGCTTTGGAACCATGTTTTTGTTGCACAGTGTTGCCATGAAACTGTGGATATGTGATTTTTGTGGTGTGAGCTCTGCCCATGGACATGATAGGTGACTTTATTGTGATGTTGAGGTAACCCAATGCAAATACCCTGAGGATCCATGAGGATCTGAGCTTTGGAACTATGTTTTTGCACTGTTGTGGTGCCACAAATCCTTGGATGCGTGATTTTTATGGTGTTGCCTATAGACTAAGACATGGTCTATTGTATGATGGTGGTTTAATTTCATTTCAATGTAAAAATCATATGAATTCATGCGGATCCATGCTTTAGAACCATGTTTTTGCCATGTTGTGGGGCCATAAATCCGCAGATGCATGATTTTTGTGGTGCTGTCTATAATCTAAGACATGTTCTACAATATGATTGTGGTTTTATTTTGTTTCAATGTAAAAATCATACAAATTCATGAGGCTCCGTTTAAAATCATCTAGATCCGACTTTTACCAAGTACCACCACCAGAATGTGACTGTACTAGGAAGTGTCCCACAGAAACTACTGAGATTTACTAATGAGTAGAATCTTCCATCTGATGACATTAGCTGATTCATGAAAACTTTTATACTAACCTAGCAATATGTCCCCTTTTAACCCTTGATTTACTTTACCACTACTAACATGTCTACCCATCTCAGATTTACTTCTGAGTAAACACAGTAAGGATCATGCTGCCCATACTGTTTTAGCTCTCAGTTATAAATTTAACTGCAAATTAAGAACTAACTAAGGACTGTGGCTCCTTCACACACAAATTTAGCTCTTTCCCACTCTCTCATTCTTAATACCAGGAAAAACTCTACCAGCTCAATTATGGCAAGCCTTCCCTTTCCCAGATGTGAGACACACAGAAATTCTGTTTCTGACCTAACAGAAAGGTTGAGAGACTGGAAGCACCAGACACTTGTGCTTTCCTGGTATTTTACCTATGCATAAACGCCCGTTCAGAACCTGATCCGACGACGGCTTCGAACAGAGAAGGGCAGTATAAAATTGGGCGGTGGAGACGCAAGTAAACCACCCAAGCCTCCGGCCGTCATCTCCTGCCAGCCTTCCGTGTGCAAGCCTCATTTTCACGACTTTCCCCAGTAAATGTAGTCCCCCCCTGGGGGGGGGGGGTACGGTGCAAAACTTTGCCTTTGGCTCTCTGCCTGTCACAGGATTGGATGCAGGCAGACGAATCCCGTCAAGAAAAATGGGGAACTCATATCACGAATAGTATGACCGCCTCAGGGGGAAGGGCAGGGCTTGGGAGGAAAACCGTCCAGGAAGCGGAGGGCCAATAGCCAAGGAGTACGGCGAAGACAGCCCTATAAGAAGTCAGGAGCGCAGAAAGAAATGACTTTTACTATAACTGAAGGTCTCGCAGAAAGGGAGGGGAAGAAAAAACAGCGCGCCATAGAAAGAACACGAGTCTGACCTCAGCCGGCTCCTCCCTTCTCACTGCCTCCTCCCTTCCCTGGAGTTTTGTAACTTGCAGAGTTTCCGCGTCCTGTGACTGTAGTCAGGTGGTTCCCCCGCTTCGCTTTTTCTCTCGCCCCCTCCCGTCTGTAGTAGGGACACCTTCCCGCCGAAGGCAGAAGTGGGACAAAGAAAGTTTCTTCGGTACTACAGGCAGGGAGGCCGCCGGGAAGCGACTGTGCAGCCAGGCAGCCTTTCCCCGCTCCCGCCTGTCTCGGGGGGTCCTCTGAGAGGATGAGAAGCGACTGGGGGGGTTGCAGGCAGCAGGCAACATGAGGATGGCTGGAGGGGAGCGAAGCGGCGGGGGTTCCACCGGAGCGGCGGAATGCCGGGAACATCTCTTCAAGATCCTGGTCATTGGTGAGCTGGGCGTGGGCAAGACGAGTATCATCAAGCGTTACGTCCACCAGCTCTTCTCCCAGCATTACCGGGCTACTATCGGCGTAGACTTCGCCCTCAAAGTCCTCAACTGGGACAACAATACGCTGGTGCGGCTACAGCTTTGGGATATCGCAGGTGAGGGGGCGAGAGGGAAAGGCCTGAGCACAGGCAGCGGCGCGGTTAAACCCCGTGGTGGTGGTGGTGGGGAGCCCAGCTCAAAATCAGAACTTTCTCTCGGGCTCGTCATCTGTGAGCCGTCTGACTCGTAGGGGAATTAATTCTGTGCGAGTGCTCAGAAGCTGTCGTGTCTCGCTCGTGTGTGTGTAGATGTACCCCGTGCTTTTTGGTAGAAGGGCAGGATGATGTCACAGTTCTGGAGTAAAGAATGCTGTGACTCGCCGACACGTATGTTGAAATAAATGTTGGTCTTTAAACTTTTTTTGTTTTATTTTTGCTAAACATGGCTACCTCTTGGAAATCAGCGAGCATCTTTTCATCTGTGGAGAGACCCTGATGAGGTCTGGCTCAAATATTAAGCCTGGGCAGCAGTTTTTATTAACTTTATGTTGAAGCTGAAACCTTTGGTTTTTTGAGCATTCCTGTTTTCCTATCCACTGCATGGTTGTTAAAAATTCAAGAGCTGAAACTCAGCCAGTTTGGTATAGTGGTTAAGTGCGCCTACTCTAATCTGGGAGAATCGGGTTTGATTCCCCACTCCTCCACTTGCACCTGCTGGATGACCTTGGGCAAGCCATAGTTCTGATAAGAGCTGTTCTTGAAAAAGAGCAGTTTCTGTCAAGAGCTCTCTCAGCCCCACCTACCTCACAGGGTGTCTGTTGTGGGGAGGGGAAGGGAAAGGAGTTTGTAAGCCGCTCTGAGACACCTTTGGGTAGTGAAGGGCAGGGTACAAATACAATCTCTTCTTCCTCCTCCTCCTCCTTTGCTGGTAGTGATTGATGGGTTTGTGGGGTTGGAGATGCTTTTCCTATTGAACTTCTGTATGCTATATACCGTATTTTCCTGCGTATAAGACTACTTTTTAACCCAGGGAAATCTTCTCAGAAGTGGGGGGTCGTCTTATACGCCGGAAAATACGGTAGCTACTAAATGTTCAGTAGAGGGGATCCTGAATTCTTTAGCATGGCAAAATAGCTTGTAGCCTTATCTCATGGCATATTTTCCACAAAACCTCAGTACTGTTGTGGTCTGGATGTCTAAAATAAAGACTATGCATTACAATCTAGTATTTACTCTTTTCAATAAGAAGTAGTGTTCTCTTCTAAATCCATGGCAATTATAAGCAGTGAAGATGTGGAGTGATGTGGCAGTTTTTCTTCAGTTACATCACTGCTATGGGGAAGTATGACCTTCTGAAAGGGAAGTGGACCTACCGTTTAAAAATGAATTTAAGTCTTTCTACAAGCTGTTATATTGCTCTGCCATGGGAATTCTAAATAATTTGGTAATGGTTGACTAAAATTGGGAATTTTTTCTCTTACTATGTTGACCATGGCTCAGTTATGGGTGTGGCATTCTCAACCCCCTCCCCCCCAAACTGGGCAAAAGTACACTGGGACGGAACAGGTGTATCTTGCAGAGAGAGGGATGAAGGAAAGCTACTTAAACTATTGAAAAGCCATTTGCAAGCTGCTGTAAAATTCTCACTTTTAAAAAATTATTGCAATGTCAAAAAACTGTTGAGTTTTTGTCAAGGAGCTAGGTACTCCTCTGTAGACTCTCCAGGGACTCATTTCAGCAAGCCAGAACAGTCAGTCCTTCTTCTTCACCCTTAAATTTGGCTTCCTTGTGCATAAGTTGAGAATGCTCTACTGGATAGCATGCTCTAACATGGATTACCTTACTACTCTGTTTCAAATTCTGGCATGTAAAATGAGATCAGCAATGATTGGTGTAACGAGGTTGCTAGGCTTATGAAGCACTGTGCATATAAAATGTGACTGTTCTGTGGTAGGCAGTTCAAAACAAAGGCTATTAACTTTCTGTCTTTTTCATACTTCGGTTGATTTAACAAAGCTCTTGTCAATATGGAAGCGTTTTTCTTGCCCCAGAGCACTTCTGATCTTCTAGTGGTATAGAAGAAGTACTGGTGGTAACTGTAAGAAACAGCATAGTTTAATATAGGCTATCTTCCACTTTAGCCATGTAACAATGAGGAATTTCACATTACCCTTTTTAACCCGTTTTGAAGCCGTTTTTGATCCGTCGTGGAGTAAACCGGTATAGGGCTGCCATTTCATACATGGCTTTCCCCTTCCGGTAAAGAGCTGGATCTGAAGCGGTTTGCCATTTCAGACTGC